CCCATCTCCATCCTCGTCCCATCTCCATCCTCGTCCCCGTCCCATCTCCATCCTCGTCCCCGTCCCATCTCCATCCTCATCCCCGTCCCATCTCCATCCTCATCCTCATCCCCATCCCCATCCCACCCCACACCGGTGACCCCTTCAGCATTGCTCTCCTTGTGCAGGATGACCCCGTGACCAACCTGAACAACGCCTTCGAGGTGGCAGAGAAATACCTGGACATCCCCAAGATGTTGGACGCCGAGGGTAAGCTGCTCATCCACACACAGCAAACGCTGGAGCTCTGCTGGCAGATCCCCTCCTGCAGGCACAGCCCTGCTCTAAGCCACGTGTTGGGACTCTGTAATCATCTTTTACCCATACAGGAGCATTTCTTTTAGCCTGCCTGTCTGCGGGATCCGCGCTGCAGCTCCGGGTCCCGGCGTGGTGAGCTGCTCCAGCTGGCAGGGAACGTTTCCCTCTCATCCTAACCCTCCTTGTTCACTTACAGACATTGTCAACACAGCTCGCCCCGACGAGAAGGCCATCATGACTTACGTGTCCAGCTTCTACCACGCCTTTTCAGGGGCTCAGAAGGTACCAGGCGGGCTGCCTCCGTCGTGCCGTAGCCGCAGCACCGCACGCTCACGCATTTCTCTTCCAGCTGGCCGTTGCCTTTGGCTGACTGGGAACCAGACCTCAGCTCGTTCACACGGGTTTAAGGCTTGCTCACATTCCCAGTGCGATCCGTAAGGCGATGCCAAGCCGTTGGCACGGCCCCAGCACTGGGCAAGGACGGCTCCCGCCGTGCCTCTCGTATGGAAAAACAGCTTCAGCCCTTTGCAAAAGGCTTGAGTGATTCAGGAGGAGCGCGGCAGCAAACGTAAACCCGTCAGCCAGCTCTGGTCTGGACAACCCCCAGTGCTTCTCTCTGCCACTGCATGCACCGAGGGCTCGGAGGTCGCCACGCTGCTCCTTCACGCTTTTCTCCTCCCTCTCTCTTTGCACAGATATTGTAGGCACTCTCAGGCCTGATGAGAAAGCCATCATGACATACGTTTCCTGCTTCTACCACGCTTTTTCTGGGGCTCAGAAGGTGAGCTTGGCTGGGGCAGCTTGGGGTGCAAGGCTGCTAACGCTGCCTGCAGGCGGCCGCGCTGCTGCACGGCTTCTGGGCGAGGGGATGCAGGCAGGTGGAGCTTTGCTAGGCTCAGCAGAGGGCAAAGCAAATCCCTGCTGGGGATGGGATGCTGGACCCGTGAACTAAACCACCCTGGCCCCACTGCCATCCCGCTGAGCTCAGCCTCCAGCAGCCACTTCTCCCATCCTGTCCCCACTGCCATCCCACCGAGCGCAGCCTCCAGCAGCCACCTCTCCATTCTCAGCCTTTTTTAAATGAAAAGCTGAGGCTGCAGGTGTGGCAGGACCTGGGGTTGGGTGTGATTTTGGAGAAATCCACCTCTCTGAGGTGCTGCTGCGTTCTCCTTCCCTGCATCTCTGCTCTTTTGGCACCATTTTGGGCTTAGAGAGAAGCCCATCAGCTGCTCAGGTCTCTCACCTGCAGTGAGGTTCCCTCTTTGCTTCTTTATTTTACACCCAGAGCGCCACAAAAGAGCCATTGTGGACAGCTTCAGCTGAGCCCTGGGGCTGGGGCAGCAATTACCACGATTCAGCTAATTAATGAGAGGTGTAGGGAAACAAACGAGCCTCTCAGGTGTCCCGTGGCTCGGAGATGTGGCTGGGCACAAGAGAGCTGGTGCAGGAAGGTCATCGTGCAGCAGAGGACCTGACTTCATGCACGGAGGGCTTGAAGGTGTTCTGCAGCACAGAGCAAAACCCACGGGCAGAAATTCAGTCACAGCAGTGCCCACTGGTTTGGCAGCATCCCTGCTCAGCACCCAGCAGGGATAATGGATGGGAGAAGCCCTCCCTGACTCCTCCTGAGTGACTCCTCCTCCTCCCAACCTTCTCTTTTCTGCCCATTCCTCACCCACCCATCAACTCCTCCTCCTGGTGCTCAGCCCCCAACCTTCTCCTTTCTGCCCATTCCTCACCCACCCATCAACTCCTGCTGGTGCTCAGCCCCCAACCTTCTCCTTTCTGCCCATTCCTCACCCACCCATCAACTCCTCCTCCTCCTCCTGGTGCTCAGCCCCCAACCTTCTCCTTTCTGCCCATTCCTCACCCACCCAACCCCGCGCAGCGAAGATCCGCCTTCATGGGAGAGCAGAGGAAGATGAAGATGTGCTCAGAGATGGGTAACAGCCTGGG